TAGAAACCTTTTGTATTAAATAGAGATATATAATGTAATTCTATGTTCATCATTGGTGGTGGATTGGGAGACTGTTCATGCCCTCTGTATGTGTGTATATATATCTCCTCAATATATGTTCCATTCTATATGCATCCGAAGAAGTGGGCTGTAGTCCACGAAAGCTTATGCTCTAATAAATTTGTTAGTCTCTAAGGTGCCACAAGTCCTCCTGTTCTTCTTTTTGCGGATACAGACTAACACGGCTGCTACTCTGAAACCAGTTGTAATGGTTACATAGTCCATATTCCGAACTTTAGATACAGAAATGATGCAGGCATACAAATTGGATAATCACATTTAGTAAAATAACCTTTCCAATGATATCCTACAAGACCCGTCTTGCATAAAGTTATGTCATATCCGGGCTCCCTATGAGCAGTACCCGGGCTCCCAGCGGGGAGCTGGTAGCTAGGTGGGCCCAGCCCGGCTCGGAGTGGGGAGCCCTGGGGGTAGCCGGTCTCTAGCTGGAACCACCCATCCTCCCCAGGATGACAGCTGGGCCTTTTTCTCAATATCACGGCTCCATGCTGGAGCCATGAAATTGACAAGAATGACAGCCAACAACTGACATAAGTAATGCACGTACACTGCATCGCCCTAACTAAATTGACATAAGCCTTACACCTCTTGCGGAGATAGAGTTATTATGTCTGTGTAATAGGGCCCTTACATTGGCGGGACCAAGGCTGTAGTGTGTACACTGACATAATTAGGTCAACATACACTGCTTTACATCAACATAACTCTTTAGTGTAGACCATGCCTAAATAATACTTGACTAGTTCTTTATCTATTTTAGCCTCAGATTTTCACCATTTACATTGATGTTTACTGCAATAGTGGTCCAATCACTGCTAACCTTTTCTGATGAAAACTGAAACAAAAACACTTTGGTCATTGCTGCATTTTCTGTTACTCTTTCCCTCTTCATTGAGCAATGGGCATACCCTGTCATTGGTCTTGATCTTCTTGCGTCTGATGTATTTTTAAAATGTTTTCTTGTTAGCCTCTATATTGCTAGCTAGTTTAATCTTTTTTTGTGCTTTGGTCTTTCTAATTTTGCCTCTACATGCTTGTCTTGTGTTTTTTATAATCATTCTTCATAATTTGACCTAGTTTCCACTTTTTATATGACTAGTTTTTGAGTTTCCAGTCGTTGAAGATCTCCTGGGTAAGCCAGGGTGGTGTCTTACCATACTTCCTGTCTTTCCTATACGCCGAGATAGTTTGCTCTTGTGCCCTTAATCACGTCTCTTTAATAAACCTACCAACTTTCCTGAATGCTTTTTTTGACTTAGACTTGCTTCCCACAGCATCTTACCTACCAATTCTGAGTTTGCTAGTCTGCCTGCTTGAAGTCCATTGTCTTTATTGTGCTGTTTTCCCTTCTGCCATTCCTTAGAATCATGAGCTCATCATTTCATGGTAACTTACACCCAAGCTGCCTTCCACCATCAAATTTTCAACCACTTCCTCCATATTTGTCAGAATCAGTCTAGAACAGCCTCTCCCCTAGTTGCTTTGTCCACCTTCTGAAATAAAAAGTTGTTTCCAGTGGATTCCAAGAACTTCTTCAGTTTGTCCTCCAATTCGGGGAAGATCTTTGGGGGGTTTTGGTTTTTTTTTAACCTGATGGTTTCTAGACTTTTAAAAGGGATTGTTTAATTATTTCCCTGGGTAAAGGATGCATTGCCACCTTGGAATCTTAATATTTTATTGGCCACTTTAATGGGCCTTCCATTTGAACCTATAGGCCACCTGTTCTTTGTGTCGCCTGTGTCAGAAGACATCTTTTCTCATAGTCATTGTTAGCCAGAAGAATGGGTGAGCTTCAGGCTGTCACTGCAGGACTCCCATATATACTATGTTTTCAAAGATAATGTAACTTTGTGGCCACAGCCGAAGTTCCTGACTGAAGTGGTATCTGCCTTTCATCTGAGCCAGACAATATACTGACTGGTTTTCTTCCTTCAAAACCACACTTACATAAAGATGATGAACGTATACGTACTTTGTATGTATGGTGAGTATTAATCTTTTAACTGGACAGGACTAAATCTTTCAGGTTGTTTCCTTGACTTGTGTATTTCTTATGCTGATAGAATGAAAGGTCACATCACACACAATTTCTAGATGGAATGTTTCCTGTATTACTGTAGTTTATGGGGTAGTGAACACACCGCCTCCACAGAGACTGTCTGCTCACTTAATGAGAACATAAGCTACTTCAGTGGCTTTTCTGAAGGACATATCCATGTTGGATGTTTGTAGAGCTGCCACTTGGCCGTCTATGCATACCTTCACTCATCATTACGCCATTGTGACTGCTTTGAGATCTGATGCAATTTTTGGGAAGGCTGTGTTGTAGTCACTATTAGGGCTCAGAGTGACTTTACCGCCTAGCAGTACTGCTTTGTGAGTTACTGCTGAGTAATACACATGTGCAGCCACTTGAAGAAACAAAAACTATTACTTACCTGTATTGTAACTGTTTTTCAAGATGATGTTGCATGTGTGTATTCCACTAAACCCTTCCTTCCCTGTGCATTGGAGTCCTGTTTCATCATATTTCTGGCATAAAGGAACTGAGGGGGATTGGGGCAGCACTGCCCTTTTATAGGCTCAGGAGAGGCCATGAATATGTGCAGGGTGCATGCAACGCCCTGACAGGTACTTCTGCAAAAAACTCTTTGGCTCCAGCATGCTGGGTGTGCTGGGAGTGGAATACCTGTGTGCAGCAACATCTTGGAGAATAACCGTACAGGTAAGTAACCATTTTTGTCTAGCTCACTAAAGTTTTGAAGTTAAATGGTGAAATATGTTGAGACACTTGTATATGTATATGCATATGTGAGTGGAGTGTGTTAGTACTTAGTACTTATTATTTATACATTATATGTATAACCCCTATCCCACAATACACAGTGGTAGCATTTAAAAAGCATCTTAAAATATTCTGTAATTTTGAGAGAGTTTCTTTGGACTTGTAATAGAACATATCACTGGAACTGGTAATCTCTCAGATACATTTTAAGTGCAATCACTGTACTTCTCTCATGCCAGACATTGCAAATATTAGACATTTTAACCCTTTCCTAACAGTGGATGTGGACAAGACTGCAAACATCTTAAACCCAACAGTATGCTCTTGTGATTACACTACATATATGTTGTTGCATAAACTACAGTGAACTTGGGTGTCTGCAGATGGAAGCAAAATGCCAAGGTATCCATGATTTAACATGTCTACCTTGCATGGAGTATTCTTAAGGTGGCAGAGACACAATAGCGGGTTACCAGTGTTTTAGAGCACCTTAACTAGTGCCTCACATACTCTGTGGCACAAGGGGACCAAGTTCTGTGGCAACACCTAAATTCCAATGGGATACTAAATTATTCTCTTACTGTGCAATCCTCTTATTCCCATCACCCTTTGCACTACATAAACAAGTACAATTATGGCTCTTAATTGAACATACTCATTGATGAAAAATTCATACAGTTATTTTCATCGGAGGTTGTATTTGAGTTTTGGCCTCTTGTTTTCTAGGCTAGCAGCACAACAGAACCAATTCTTGACTCCATGAGAGGATGTATCTTGCAGCATTCTCTAGTGAACAACTGAAAAGGAAGGTTCTTTCTATCTTTAGCCAGAGGGAAGGCTGCCACGATGTTCAGGGTTTTTGAGTGGAGAGAGTAAAATGAGAAAAAAGGATATCTTGAAGCTAGACGACTCCTATTCAAAAGCAGGAAACATTGAATTTGTGTATGGGAGAAGAGGTGCCTAGAAATAATAGCTGTAGGTGGAGAGAGACTGGAAGCAAGGACAGAAATAAGAAATTGGTGATGGTAGAAAATGCACAAAATCCAAAAAGGGCAGAGAACAAAGTGAATAGGTTGATTGGTATTTTTCTTTTGGCTAATTATCTTCAGCAGTTTAATTGGTTTGGAAAGTAACCTTGTAAATAAAATTCTGTCCCTTTCCTTACTATGTTGCAATTCCCACTGTAATTGAAACATCGCCTTAATTGAAAAAGTCTCTTGACAAGCAAAGGAAATAAAACCCAACTACGCTGTCAGAATTGTTTTCTTTGACACACACTCTAAATTATGTGCAATTTAATAAGAAAACACCATATATAACCCATAGTTTCAAAGTTAATTTGGCAAAATCTGTGTAGTTTTAAAGAGAAGAATCTTCAATATGACAGTAGCCAAAAAAAGTTTTGCAAACAAAGTTCAGTACTGTTTGAAAAGCCGAGAAGTTTAGTACATTAAATTTTAAACAGTAAATAGCAACTGACAAAATAGTAACACATACTTACATGTGCATTGATTGCTATGTATGTCTGTCTTCTTGTGGCCACGTTTCATTAAAAACCACACTTGAAAATGTCACAAACCAAGAAACTTAATTCCTCTGTGGGTGAAATTTAAATTTTGTGCATATTAATGTTATTGAAATTAATAATTTTGACTTTTGCTTAAGGTATTTCATCTTCTCTTTTAGTTGCTGCCAAACAAGGGGAATCGGACCCAGAAAGAAAAGAAACAAGGCAGAAAGTAGATGATGACAGAAAACATGAGATAGAAGCTGCTATAGTGCGGATAATGAAATCTAGAAAGAAGATGCAGCACAATGTGCTAGTAGCAGAGGTAACATCACATATAGTATTGACGTGGTTAAGAGGTTAGGAAAAGGGCACATCTTAGATTTCTCTGTCAATTCTTACTCTTCTGTTAATGTAGCGAAGTTACAAGGCCTTATCAGCAGTTCGATTTTTAAACTGATTCTAGAGAGACTTTATATTTTTATCTCATACCTCTGGAAGCATAGATGTATTTAATTCCTTTAGTTGCTATTATGTCAACCAGTTGTTTATAGTACAGTGTTTTATAACAAAAAACAGTGAGTTGACTGCAAAAGGTTGATATCCTGTATTGAACTTGTAAATTGCCAACCATGGGGTCTGATGAGCTGCCAAGGGGAGTGAGTTTCAAAGAGTGAACCTTTTGTAGGGAGAGTCCTGACACTCATAGTTACTAAATTTGAAAGCTGCACAGACAGCAAATGTCTCCAGCCAGTTCTAACTGTCATCATGGTTGTAGGTTGAGAGGCTTCATGATAAACACACAATTGCACCAAGAAGTGAGAAAGCTGACAATGAGAAAACTTCAGCACAGAGTTCATGCCAACCATTCTTCTGAGTATAAATTGATAGGCTGCTGGTGTGAGGAAGGATGTTTTCTCCCATGTGTGTAACTGCTTAATTGCCTGCTCTGGTGCATTATTAGGTTTTTGTCTTTCTCTGAAATATCAGCTATTGACAGTAATGGAGGCCGAATATTGGATGTGATGGACCAGTGGTACAGAAATACAAAACAAATTTATTTTTATATGGATCAATCTAATTTCTATTACAAACTCAATTTTTTTCACTTGGTTAGTACCTGAAGTGTGCAGCTGGCCACGTAAACTTTAAAGGTTACACCCAACCTGTTTTAACAAATGTTTTTTATGATTATTTTTAGTGTGCTTTTGTGTTGTGCAGCCTAACGCATTATCATCTGCAATATAGCATTAATTATTATTGTTTTTATGTCCTAGGTAACTCAGCAGCTGAAAGCCCGATTCTTACCAAGTCCAGTTGTTATTAAAAAACGTATTGAAGGACTTATTGAGAGAGAATATTTGGCACGAACACCTGAGGATCGCAAAGTATACACTTACGTAGCATAAAATGCGTTCAGCAAATTTGATTTATTCTTGGACTATACTCTCCGCATGAACTGGGAAGTTCTTTTAAATCATTAATATTAAAGACGACCATCTCTTCTATTAAATTACAATACATGTTCTAGACCATGCAGATCAAGCCTTTACTCCTTTTGAGAGTTTTCAACATCAATTGATTGAGCTTCAGGCTTTTCAACGTTATCCCTGTAGAGATCATTCTTATAATTCCTCGGGAAAATGTGAACGTGCTGCGTTTGTTTTCAAAACTGTATGAAAACACACAAAATAAAAACAAATTTAGAAAATACAGCTCATTAAAAAATAAAATTGTTGGAATTTCATTTCCCCAAATCTTCAGTGTTGATGTAAATGTGTTTCTGTAGTGTTGCTTAGCACTTTGCGCATTGTATAAGTTGGATTTAAAAACAACACAACTGGTAAGACAGAATTCCCGGTTATATTGCTCTGCTTCAGACATTTCTTTAACTAGCCATGTTTAATTTAAATATTTGGTAAATTTATAAAGACCCAAGAATATAATTTTAGCATGCTTCACTCTTCCAGCTGCACTCATTATTGTTCTGGCAATATGATCAGGAACCTTTTTGGGGCTCAGTAAAGACCGTAATAATTTTGGCTTTCCCTTCTGTAATTTGAGTTCTTCCAAATTAAGTTCTATATTGATTAGGTTTGTTCTGGTTTCTTTATAGGAAAAAGGAAAAGGTTTTAGTGTGTATAAACTGTATAATAATTTTTGCTGTTGTACTCACTGCTGATAGTGGATTGTACAGGGCGATGTTTTTATTTCACTTAATGTAGACACAATAAATTTAAAATAAACGGATTTAGTGTACACACACCACTAATTCAGTTGTTTTAGAGCACAGGGAGTACAATTTGTTGAACTAAATACTGCCCCTTGAAGAAACGCACCAAGACTATACCTTGTTTATTAATGTCATGACCGACCAGAAGGTTTCCCACCTTAAGTACATATTTTAGGAGATTAAAGTGAAGCCATTGTGCACTATTGTTTTAAAATGCAATCTGAAAATGCAATAAATATTCTTACTTTAATCTTAATGAAATCTTCAGTTCTTACAGCAAAACTTCTTTTACATATTGTCAATGTGGTTCAAACCATGGATTTCAAAATTGTGATTCAAGGGCATCGTTTTTCTTTGATAAGTCAGTTTCACTGCCTGCGGATGTGTATTGTATTAAAGATTTTTGATTAAGATATAGTTTTGACCTTACAAAGAATGTACTCTGTGCAGCTTCTCTGCCATAACTATGGTTTCCCCCATTTTTCATCAAACTACTGTACTTTTATTCTCAGTTCTCCTTAATTGTGCTTTTTCACAAGAGATTTAAAAATGTAATTGGGAAAGGCTGCTTATAACATAGGCACCAATTTGGAGTCAAAAAAGCCTGGTTAATGGTCATGAAGCATTAAGGTACTGCTGGTGCATTTGTTAACTGTATCTGACAAAGGTGTCTGTTCAGATATATGATAAAGTATATCAACATAATTTCAGTATGGATAAAGATGCCACATAGCGGTTTCCATTGCATTTGGGGCAGTGTTTTTACTCTGGTCTGCATATGTGTGTAGATTGATTTTACTTTTGTTTCACTGTCAGCATTTGGCAGCTAAGAAATATATTTCTATCTCAAACATTTTATCTTGAATATTTTGTAATTTATGCAACATGCTTCAAAGTCCAAATAAGAGTTTCTTTCATTTTATCCCCAAAAGTTCAAAAAATTTTGATTAGATCAGTTCTAAGTGATCAGAGTGAAAGAAAACTCCCAGGCTTCGACATTTTCTCTGTCTTTCGCTAACTTCTATTTCAACATTGATACTTGGAAAGCAGTCAGGCTGGAAGGCCTCTGTGGTGTCAGTTATTAAATACCTGTGTGTATATGAATAATATACTTTAAGTGGCAAAAGTATTTATTTATTTTCAATAATGCTATGGATAGGTAGCAACCTTCCATTATTGTTTTCTAAATACATTTCTAAATAGTAAGATGTTTAAAATTTTCCCCATATATGTGCTTTGTCCCATGTTTTTTGATGCTTACTTTTTACAAATTTCCATAAAGGGGTTTCTTTTCAGATACCGGAAAAACTTGTTTATTTTGTTAAAAGGCATTGATGTTGTGGTAAAGTATCAAAAACCTAGACATTCAAATTTAACACTATGTATTCTGTGTTTTTCAAAAGAAGGGGGGATGGAAAAGTGAAATTCTGATTCCATTGAAGTCCGAGGGAATTTTAGCATTTATTTCAATGGGGACAGAAGTTAATGTTGCATGTGTTCTAGCTCTTGGCTGTCAGATATTTAATGTTATGTGTAAATAATTGTGTGTAGTGGTGTAGCTAATATGTGAAAGGATAGCAGGTAATTTAAACCTCCTTAAATAACAAGGAGTGGAATTTCTTTTGCAGTTTAAAGTGGCTAGAATTTTAAAGAGACAAGATGGGTGAGATAATACTTTTTATTGGACCAACCTGTGTTGGTGACAGACACAAGCTTTCGAGCTACACGGAACTCGTCAGCAACACAAGTTGGTTCAATAAAAGACCTCACCCATCTTGTCTCTAGTATCCTGGGACCAGCATGGCTACAACAACACTGCAAACAATAGAATTTTAAAGATATTAATGATTTTGAAATTTGCTTCTGTGATCCTTTGAAAAATCTTACCCATAAACATTAAATGTGAGGTAATGAAGCAGAGGATATCTTAATGTATCAAGATGAGGATATTCAAACTGAAGTCAGACTTAAAGAACAGCAGAAAATTGCTACAGTTCCTTTTAAGGTGAGTTTAGTACTGTGTTTTTAGAATGTATACATGTGAATTTGAAATGTCTTGTGCAAACCGTGGAAATGTCCTGCTGTTCCTTATCTGATTTCACTTCTGATCTTCCTTTCTTAATGAGTTATTAGGCTCTTCCTGTTGACATTTATTAAAATGGCATATATAGGGTTTATACAGCTGCCTGTATTGATGGAGAATATGAACATTATCAAGCATTTTTAAATACTCCTATGTGTAATTCCTTCAGTAATCTTATTTTTCTATATTAATCTAAGACAGTGAAGTGAAAATTAAAAAAAAAATAACCTGCAGCTTTTCTTGTAAGATCTCAGGGCAGAATTTCAAACCAATGGTGCCTAAAATTAGACTTCTAAATCCATTTTTAGGTCTCTAAACAGACATGGCCAGACTTTAAGATATGCTGAGCAGCTTTCATTCCCCCTTCCCACGCAAACTGTTAAGTTATAGTTAAGGCTGCATGACTGCAACTCCAACAACACATGATAAAAAGTCATTGCATCAGTAACCTCCCCATCTACACTTTACTTACCGCTTCCCCTTCTCAATCTCAACTACCTCCCTTCCCCATCCACATCTCCACTCTGAGTTGTTTTCTTTTATGATCTTCCTTGTAAATTCAAAATTTATACCATAGTGGTAGCAGCAGCATGGTTTAGTGCAGTGGTCCCCAAACTTTATCGCATGCCCCTCCTTTACTTCTGTCTGTGTCCACCCCCCACCCCCCCCCGTCCTCTTGGGCTGGGAGCGGGGCTGCACCTCCGGGGAGGGGCACAGAGGTAAGGGGGCCGAGGCTGGGGCCGGGAGCAGAGCCAAGGCCAGGAGCGGAGCTGGGTCGTGCTCCCTCCCCCTCCCATGTGGACTGGCCCAGGCCCCAGCCGCATGGCGCTCAACGTTTCTTTGCGCCCCTTAGGGGAGGCATGCCCTACTACACTTTGTAGACCTCTGGCTCAGTG